GCAGGAGTCCTACTGATTGGCATTTTCTGGTGTCCAAACCACATCTCTGGTTGCTAAGGAGGTACCAGCTCTGCCTGAGACCCATGTGAAGAGCTGCAGTCCTGCTGCCTCCTGTTTGTGCTGTCATTCATGCTTATCTACTATTTCTGTAGCTCCTGGTTACACCCGTGCTGACTTTGCTTCACATTTTCTTGTTTCCATGTAAAATTTGACAAGGCTGCGCCTTATCTCTTGTTCCTTTCCCTCCTCCAGAAAGCAGTGACAGAAGCTGTCATTCATCTTGAATGGGGAAAGCTGCTGTGTTTAGAGCTTTCTATGATTATTTAAAGCTGTTCCTTGGTGGCTTTTGATCATTTGGTAAAAGCCAGTCTTTGAATAAAGTGCAGCTAGAACAGAATTTTATTTCTTTGGAGGATTAGGGATGGGAGTGGTGTTTCAGGTCCTAGCTGTCAAGTGTCCCCCCACTCTGGGCAGTGACCAGCCTAGAGCAGACTTTCAAGCAGATGGCACCTGTCAGGTATCTGTTACAAACAGCCCTAGAAGAGGCTTAGGAACTGTGGGTCATAATAGGGCAGTAGCCACCATCTTTGGTGTTTGTTGGGGATTTCTTGTTTGTTTTTTTAATGTTAGGAGTTTTTGTCTGTTTGTTTTTGGAAAGATTAATACATCAAGCTTTCCCTGAGAGGAAGACCTACAGAACTGTGTTTTAGGACAATTTTTATTGTGCCATAGTGAAATATAGAAGAGTTCTGAAGAGCAAAAAGCTTAACTTAGTTCTTCTTTCTTTATTAGCTCTTCCCCTCAAGGCTTCTCCCAGTCTGTACTCATATCTAGAACTGGTGCAATCCAAGTGCAGCACCTTGCACTCCTTGAACTTCATGAGGTTAATGTGGCAAAAGTTACCTAAAGCCACTAATAATTTACAGAGAAAATTTGTCCTCACCATTTTAGAGACTCAGTCATGTTTAATTTTAAGAATCCTTGTCTATTTTGCCAGGAAAAGTACTTTCCTCAATATATTCTGTAAGCAGAGAAAAGAGGAAAAAGATAAACATGCAAGATACTGAACACCATACCTTGGTCCTGTCTACCCAGCAGCTTCAGGGGCAGCAAATTATAAAGGTGTTGTGTTTGCCTTCCCAAGAGATCATCAGTCTTCTCAGCCTCTCCTTCCCTCTCATTAACAGCCAAGGAAAGATGATCAGACCCCATCTCTGGTGTCCTTTTCCCTCGTGTGCCTTCATGTAACCCCCTCTGTCTGCTTGCTTGATTTTTAGATCTGACTAATGGACAATTTGTGAAGTTGATTCCAGGATTGCTGACATTCGCTTTAGACTCTTTCTTACCTACACAGCTTCACAGATATGACACAAGTTACAAAAGCTCCTTCAATTTTTCTTATTAGTTATTCTGTTGTCTGGCAGTTGTTATTTATGTGTTTACCCTGTGATAGTTCTTTAATGTGTGGAGTCAGAAGTTTATTGGTTGCTTTGCAGACAAGGTAAGGTTTTGAGGAAGTGTTTGGGAGTTTGGAGGGGTGTTGCTTAGTTGCTTGATTGAACAGCAGTGAGTTGTCATAGTCTAGATTTTCATCAGAACGGCATCTGATAACACGTCACATAACACCTGGTGATCAGCTGACAGTAGCTGTTGAAGATCTGTTCATTCCCCATTTATTCCGTGATGTGCTTTGTCACTAGAATGTTTTTTTGCACACATCTGCACCATGGTACTGTAGTTCACTATCCATGTTTACAGGTGTAACTGCTAGGATTGAGCTTCCCAATTATTCCTGTTGTGTATGTCCATGGTGCTGAGTTTGTATTTTTACATTAGAGGAAAGCCAGACTAGTTCCCAAAGTCTTTCCCTATCACCTTCCAAAAAAACTTGCTTTATTTTGAAAAATTGCAGATTTTTATTTAATCCAAGTCTCTCTTAAAGGTTTTTACCCTCTTCTCAGAAATTGAAATACTGTTTTCTCCTGGCCTTAAGAGATTTTCTTGCTCCTTTTTTATACTATTACTAACTTTGTGCTTTAGAGTTGGGGATATTGCATTAATGATATCTCTTTTGGAAAATAATCAAGTTGCAGATCATATGGCTCTGCACCTTTAAAGACAATGGTGATTCTTGCTCACTTGATTCATTTCTGTCAAGGCTTGAAGATTGTCGAAGAAGGGATCACATCTCTTTTGATCAAGGGGAAGTCTTCTTCATACCTTGTATCTTTCTAGAGAGGTGTTGGGGCTTTTTTAAATACAGTGCTAATTTCAATTGCTTCAATGTCTTGGGCAGTGGAGGTGATAAGTAAAAGGAGATGTTTGAGATCAGGTTAGTAACCAGGCAGAGAAATTGGCGTGACATGACAGAGGAGGTTAACTCTGTTCTCTGTGTGAGCGTAGTACACGGTGAGCAGCTGAGAGCCTGACATGGCATTCTGTGCTGGTGCCTCCAAAGGAGTTTTTCCCAAAGACATTTTTGTGTGGTTTTGATCCACAAGCAAACAAGAACATCCATGGACTTTTTCTGTAATGATAAACTAAATACTGCTAAGAAATATTTATTCCTCAGTATCCAAGCACAATTATCTGTACAGGCAAATTATCCAAATGATCCTTAGCAAGGATTTTGACTCATGCCGGTTAGCTTCTCCCAACCATTTTTTCCACTGATGAGGAATTACCAGGTCCGGGAACTGTGCCCAGACAGGCAGGTTGAGCTTTGTCTGTTTTGGAGCCTGAGAGTGCAGAGGCCATCTAATCTCAAAGTCAGGGAGCTTTTCTGGGTGTGTTCAAACATCGTGTGTAGACTGTAGCTAGTGAGAGCTAGAGGAATTTCTGCCTTTGTGCTAAATCCCACGGTCAGGAGCATTCAAGGTTTTACCCTGCCTGAAGAAAGCTGCTTGTTGATCATTTGTACCCTATTAGCTTTAAAATGCTACTGGTTTGATGTGTGTGTGTGGACATAAACTGTAGATAACACAACGGCCCTTCCACTTCCAGAGCAGCTGTAGGAGCAGGATGTTGTTACGATGTTCGTAGCTGTGTAGCACAGCTGTTGTGAGCATCCAATGTCCTGAAGTGAAGCTGGCAAGATGCTGCTGTGAGACTGTATTTTTCTGCTTTCTTGATGAAGATTTAAAATTCATCAATTATTTACAGCATGGTTTTATAGCTGAGTTTGCAACGTAATAGTCATTATCACCATTTTTAATCTCTTGACCCTTCACATCTTGGGTTGCTTCTTGATGTGACATTGGAAAGTAGTTGAACATAATGTTTGTAAAATGCTTTGAAGATGAAATGCTCCACAGTAGATTTTTATTATTACCAGAGGCAAAGTGTGCAGGAGTGGCTTAATATTGGACTGTTTATTTCCCAAGAGATGGCTTTGTTTTGAAAAGTGCACATTATCAATTGAGTTTTAGACAAAACTATCTTATTTCAATCCTGAATATAAATAAATTGTCAAACTCTTTTATGGTTACATTATTTGCATCAGATATTTGTAGACCAGCAGTGCATTTATGATACTACCTATTCTTAGCTTATGTTTAATTAAGCTTTTCTTTTAATGTATTTGGCTTTTACTATCCAAAGGTATGTTGATTCCGGACATCCTTATATATCTAGAAGTTGCAGTGTTCTTACAACTACGTGGTATATAGATATATTTATTTGAGAAATATATGTATATTGAGACATATATTGCTCTTCAAAGATAAAATAAGTTCAGTATGTGAACAAAGAAGAATGGTCTGCATTCAGAAATGATGATGTTTTATTAGAGTATGGTTTGCAGGCAGTTTTTCACATGTTCAACCTACCCATACTAAAGACCTGTCTTTTTTTTTTTTTAATAGTGCTTTAGCTATTTCTTGAATAATTTTTATTTCCAGCCTCTCTCTACATCATGAACTGATAGGTGATTGTACAGAGATAAATAAAAAGTGAGCTGTTTAACAGTTCTCGAGCTGGTTTCCATGTGAGGTAGAGGAGGAGGGGGGGAGCTGCAGTGCTCAAATGGAAGAAGTTCAGCTTGCTGAAACAGGGATTGCTCCAGAGACAGCGATGTCCTGCATGTTCACTGCCTCCCTTGCCCTTGCAGGGTCGTCACTCCCACCCAGCAGCCTTGTTTTGACAGAGCTGTTTTGCGGTGTCAGCACAGGGCACCTCTGGGCTTTGGGAGGCAGCTCTTGTCAGCAGAGGGGTCGCTGGGCTGCGGCCAGGCACCGCATCCCTGCACCCTTGAGCGGGATGCCTCTCTTCCTGCAGCTGCAAAAGCTTTGGGCTGCTGCCTGGCACTTACAGGAATCATTGTGGAATTTGCTGATTCTGCCAGACACAACCTAAACACTTGTTCCCAAGTGCTGTGTCCCATCAGGACAGCTGTTGGTTATGAAAAACATGCAGTGGCTTTCATCTGTAATAATACAGCTTTGTTGGACTATTGCAAGCTTACAATAATCTGAGCAATACTGTGAGGCAGTACCCCCCTGCTCAGCCTTTATAAAGCTCGGGGAGCTTTATTCCCCCGTGCTTCAGTCAGGATGTTCATTTATTGTTGTCACTAATGTCAGAGATGCGGGGGAGGGAGGGAGGCTAAATTTTCACTCCATACTGTCAGTAAGGATTAACTGCAAATGCTGGGCAGTGCTTTCAAAACATTCTGACCTATTTACACAACAAAACTGATCAGAACAAAATAAACAGTTCTGGTCAGTGGCTGAATGCTGTATTGTGGCAGCTATATTTGGCAGTGAATTTTCTCATCATTTTTCCAATGTAGACAAAAAACAGAATGCCATAGAAATTTTAAGCATTACAAGCAGATAATGCCCATACTGAATAGCTTGTTTCTCCTGTTGCCTTTTGGGGAAAGGGGACAATTTGGCTGTAATTCAGTTGGAACAAATTCTTATGAAGCAACTGACAAAAAAGCATATGAGTAGATTTATCATTCTGCCATGTGGGGTAATAAACAATTGCATCATTTCCAGCAAGCTGCAATATATACCTGCGAGACGGTGGATCTCTCTCCAAGGTATAACCTCTGCAAAGAAGCATTAAATGGGGAATTGACAGACTCTAAAAATTGTTGGTTTCCTGCTTGGATTTTATTTTTTTATTTTGTAACAGCTGTAGTGGATACTTGTAGTTACTTCTTCATTTTTATGTGGTATCCCCTAAAGAATGAATGGAGAGAAATTTTTCATTTTAGCTATTTGGAAGGTCATTCTGTATTTTCTGTATTTCTGGGTCACAGATTCTTGGTAGTTCGTAGGATAAAATTGCCTGACACTCAAGATAGAAAATACTTCTTCTGTCTTGCATCTTGAACTCAGTTTCTGAGAATACTAAAATGAAGCCTTTTTAAACTTTTTTTTTTTCCCCCACTCCTCCTTGTAGTGATAGTCCCAATGCTATCCATGAGGTGGAAAAGTGGTTACCACGGCTGCACTCGGTTGTCATAGGACCTGGCTTAGGCAGAGATGAAGTTCTGCTTGAGAACGCTAAGGTAACGTGCATACTGATATTTTATCCTATGTCTTCATGTTGAATTGTATTAACCATTCCTATATTTGACATCATTACACAAATGTTCTTGTTATGGTTGCTAAATATCAAATTTAATAAAATATTGTTGACTGACAATTACAGTTTCTATCCATGGCCTTCACTGTTAAACTGTAACCTTCAGTCTGAATTTTAGACACCTGTATGGTTGTTCTGATTTGCTTTTGTTTAGCTTGTCAAAGTCACTAATTAAGAAATAGGTGTTGGCATATCTAGATAAAAGGCTCTGTGTTTTCTTAGGTGCAAAGCACCAGTACTGTAAGTACATAAATATGGATTTGAGTTAATAATTTTTGACAGCTCGTATCAGATGCACCAAAGAACAGGAACTGGGTCCTCTTGCTATAAGAAATAATACTCCTAATGATAAAATGTTGCAGATTTCCTACTTTGGATAGAGAAATAATCCTGTTTTCTGTCAAGCCTTAGTGGAGAGCTGAAACAGGAGATTAGATAGTCTTTTACTTTAAATAATACATACTTAGACCATCTTCCCAAGGATGTTTTGTATTACTGTCAACAAATCTTTGTGTGTTTGAAGTGTGTCTTTCAGTCTAATGTCAGTCTAATTTTGTGCATTAATTTTTTTTTCCTGACCAGTATTACTGAATTAATCAGTGGCACTAACAGGTGGAATTAATATAATTTACTGAAATGGTGACAGTTACACAGTGAAGTCACAAAACGGGGCAGGCAAGAGACTGGAGACCAGACTATCCAAGTGTTTAGAATACTTTGAAAACTGTGAATGGTAGTTTTGCTAGGATATTGTTAGAGAAAGTTGCTATTGGAGTTTCTTGCTTCTTTAATTTTTTTCTTTGGAAGGCAAATGTACATATTATGATACAGAGTTGCAAAAGTAATAAAGATTAGAAAATAAAGAAAATAAATGTATTACAACTGATGAAGAAATCAAATTGTATTATGACTGAGAAATTTAAATATATTGTATTAGTTTTTTGAAAACATTATTTTCAGAATTTTTTTTTTTACAGAAAAAATATTTTACACAATTCTTTTTTTTTTTCTAAAAAAATACGTTTGATGGGCTTTTTTCCTAAAGGAGAACAACTTTAAACAAAAGAAAATAAGAGTTCATTCTTTTATGTCAGAATTCCATCCAGGGTTTATGTGCTTATGTGTACTACAGAAGTATCTGGAAGATTTCTTGATTGTATTTTTTTCCTCATTGCTAAAAATAACATTGCTTACCTAGTGAATTACAAGCATACTTTTACTTCAGTCTGGCTGTCCTGTGAAAGCCAGCTTAGAGTTAAAGAAACAAACCCAGCCAGTAAAGAGAAGGCATTTGGAAGTTACTTTGTGCTAAAATCTCACGGCACATTCATATGAGCTGTGGATCTGGCCTTATTAATTTCAAGTCACATTAAAGCTCAAGTTCTTTGTCTGCACTGTAGTTGTGTAAGTGTTCATTAGTTACCCAGTGCTGAGGTTTTGAACATGCCACTGGGGACAAGCGAACCCTGGCTGCCTGTCTGAGGGAGAGTGGTGCTTCTCTGTGCTGAGGGAAAGCTGAGTCTCACTCCTGCTCTGACAGCGAATTTCCAGTGTCAAGAAAAAAACCCAGAGGTGATAGCATTGCTGTTTTAAACTTTTATAGGAGACTGGCTTGGTGTAAAGTTTTCTGGTTTCCCTTTAAGTGGCACATATGAACACCAGGCTGGGAGGTAGGTGGGTGTCTGCTTTCTGGTCGGGGTTTTGTGTCAGAGTGCTAGTGATGGTGAGATGGAGCTTCCCCTCTGCCTCCTTCTGTCCCGTTAAGGTGCTGAGGCATCGAGTTCTGGCATCTCTCTAAAGCTGTTTTTATGTCAGTTCTTGTCAGTATTGTGCCAGCACATTTCCAATTAATGTGCTTCTCCAAACAGTCATGTGTTTGGGCTGCTTCTCTCTTCTGAGCATTGAGAAATTAAGAAATTAATTACTAGCGCTGTAACCTTCAATTTCTGGTATATGGCCAAGAGACAGTGTTTTGTTGTGGAATAGCTTGAGTGCTTGTTGACCAGATGGTGCATCATCTCCAGATCAAAGAATGCTTTGCTTCCTCAGCATCTTTAGTATGTCACCTGCCTCCCTCATTCTTGACACCTGCACTGCTCACTGTGGCATTTGAGCTCCTTTCAACAGTCTGATATAAAAAATCCACCTTGGGATCAGTCTCCTTTGATTTGATGTTTTTCTCCTTGAGCACTGTGGTAGTCTCTGAATACATATTTACTGGTTTCCTGCAATTTTGTGGGTTTGGCTGTAATTCCATTTACAAGTCCTGTTACAAGAAGCTACTCTGCAAGTTATAGCCTCCTTTTATAAGCCACTTGTGTGGGTCTGTGCCAGAACCCTCACATGCTGTTACTCAGTTGCTTGGAGCTGATGCTCTGTCAGAGCTTTTGAGCCATGGGTTTGTGAGACCAGGAGCTGCAGCTTCAGAAAATTCCCCTAAAGAAAGCATTTGTTGTGTCCTGATAGCTGTACACCTGGATCCCTTGCAGATGTGACAATTCTAGTCTCAGCCTGGTTAGACCTTCCAATTCCAAAGCAAATAAGCAGTCCAAGCAGCTTCTCTTCAAGAGAAAAACCACATTTCTGCTCCACTTCTCACCTCGGGAGTATGCAGATTGAAGCATTTCTGCTCCCCATACTACTTCAAACTTTTGAAATGCTGTTACCACGTCTGGTGTGAAAGTTGGCCATGATGTCAGCTTTCTTGTTGGGAACATCAGGCCATCTGTTTATTCCTTTCAGTGTCCATGACTGATTCTGGCCAGAGATACCAGTATGTTATGTCACTGAGTTCAGCTCAGTTGGAGTGCTGCTGCTGATGCTTTAGCTTGTTGAGAAGAAGTTGAGCTGCTATGTGGAAGCAAGGCCAAGATCCCAATGACTGTCCTCTGCTTAGAAGCAGAATATTTCCAAAGCTGTTGGATATTCTCCTTGTTTTCCCACAGCAGCAGTGTAACGTCCCTATCCTATCTGCCAATCACAATTTACTTCATTCAGCTGTTGCATGTATGTTTGCACTTCTGGCTTTACTGTGATCTGATTTTCCATTTAGGAGAAGCTTGGAGGTAGGGAAATTTCTGCCTGTACCATCAAGAGCTGTTTCTTGGGTGTGTGAGAGAACCAGGTTCCTCTGCTGCAGGGTGATGAGTGCAGCTTCTGAGAGGACTTTGTTAAAAATAATGTTCCTTGCATAGCCTCCTGGGAGAGCAGGAGATGCTGCCTGATGCTGCAGGATGTTCTGCATTCTGCTGCCACCTAGCAGTTAGGCAGTTAAAGGCTGAGCTATGTCCTTCATCAGTTTCCATCCTCTTGTCATCTCCTTTCCCCTATTCCTTCTGGTTTTGAGGCCAAATGGACTGATACAGGATTGCTGCTGGGATAGGAGTTACTGTAGGGATCACGTAGACAAGCATTCATCCTTATAAAGAGCCCTCTCCTTAACTGAATTCTTCCATGTTAAAATCTTCCTTTCTTGTCACTGGGTTCCTTGCCTCTCTCCTTGAAGTGGCAGCACCAAGTCCTGGACCCTGGTCTTCCAGATTCCTGTGTCTTGTTTGAAGTCGGAATGCTGTTTTCAGCAGAGCATGCTTGCTTCCCTCCAGTAGGAGAGAGGTAATGATTAATGGCAAGAACAGCTCTGTGTAATTCAGATTACATGATGAAATTGACTGGGTTCTCAAACCATATGTTTATTCCTCTTGCTCAATTCTCAGTCTTTGTTTTAGCTTCCAGAACATGTCAGGACTACCAGCCTGGGTTTTCTTTTGACTGAGGCACTGCCTAGCTGCCATTTGTGCCTGTTGCTGTTTTTCTTCCCTCAGCCTCCTTGTCTTGCAGTGCTTCCTTCAGCCAATCATTTGCCCTTAAAGATCTCCACTATCTCTTGGGATATAAATTTCAGAATCTCATTTTTCACCCCTTGTGACATCATCTTAAGGTCGTGTTAAAGTGTCTTGGCTGTACTTAACATCTACATGGTGAGAGAGTTTTGGGCCCTTGTCATGGATCATCTCCATCAGGTGTGCCCAGAGAGAGCCCATTTGAAATTTTCAGGTAGGTGGATTGTCAGTTCCACCTTGACTGAGGCATCAGCCTTTCTGTGTTTGGTTATTTGGGTTATTTTCCCCCTTTCAAGCCTCATGCATTCAAGATTTAGGCAACACTTCACAGCTCTAATAAGTTGTGAGAATGGGACCAGGTGCTTCACTGCACTATCTGCACTACTTTTCTGCAAGATGAGGAGCACTGCAGAACACAGGGCCACCTGTTGTTATCATATAGGTCTGTTGGAGTTGAATCTCTCACTGTGGGCCTTGAAAAGGATTTTCCTCTTGATATCTACTAGCCCTCTCAGTTCTGTTTGTACCGGAGTGTAAGACACCTGAGAAGTGTCCCAGGTGAATGTTTCAGGCAGCAGATTAGTATTGCCTGTGGTCCCTACCACCATGTACAAACATGAACCAACTGAATGTGTTGTTGTGTGGAGTCACTGCTCATGGCAACTCAAATCAGCTGAATTATTAAACTTCATTCTTTAGTGTGTGTCATGTGCATTTGCTTCCTCCCTGTTTGGGGGTTCTTGCTGTGGGGATGCAGCAGTTCATAAGGAACTGAAGTAGCAGCAAGGATATGCCTCTTTCTCTTCTCAGCCCTCAGCTAGGAGCAGGTGAGGTAGCTGGAACTTTGTGTTTGGGGTACTACAAGGGCTAAACCCAGTGGGATGTGTGTGCCCTCTGTGAGAACGTGTGTGCTGTCAGCCCTCACCCAAGGCCCAGCATTGATGCACATATCACAAACAGAATCCAGTGAAAAACTGATCTCCAGCTGGCCAAGCTTCACTGCTTTCAAAAGGCCTGATGAGACTCAGAACTTGTGGATGTTGTCACCTCAGGTGGGGCATTTGCTGGGTTCGGATTCAGGTCT